GGGCATCCTCGCAACCGCTCCAGCTGAAGACGGAAAGTGGGAGGAAAGATAAGGTACATGGAACGTCTATACATCGTTAGTAGCACGGACATAGAAAGGATGTAAGCGTATGCATCTCGTATATAAAGTTTTCAAAACGGACAAAGCGTTTGTATCTGGGATGTATCTGGTATATTGAAGGATGTCGAGGCTGTCATCCACTTTCATCCGCTAGGCTTCCCATGAACATCCATTTAACATCCCCGCTATATACTTCCCATGTTCGTTCTTTTCCGTTCTGTTTTCGCAAATTTTCGTCAATTTTGTCCATTTCTGGTGCGGATGAAAACGGATGGCGCCACCCCAAAAAGTTTGCTCGTCCGCTGTGTCCTTTTTGCTTACGTTTTGTTTCCATCGGCCACTGGGACCAGGCCTTTACTTAATTTGGTCATTTCATATCTCTGTTGTTGTTTCAAATGATAACAGTATGTCCGATTTATCTAGCATTATTCCATCTGGAATCTCAGGGAAAACGAAACTGGGGGCTGGCCCAGATGGACCCAAAAAGTTAATCTTAGCTATCAAAGTTTCCTGCCGGAATTCAGTATTATAACCCAGACACCAGTGTATGTCATATTTAGCAGTGGCGTAGCCAGTTCTTTTTTCAGCGTAATTCGTTAAACTGTACTACGATAAAAGGATAAATAGTATGCCGACACACACATTGTAACACTGGTTTAATTGCATTTTAACATTGTTCAAGTACGTTTTACTTTTCGCTTATATATAATTAAAATTATATCATATATATTATTATAATATACTATTATATATTTACAATAATAATTTACATCGAACATCACATGCATAAATGACTCTGTAATCTTTTAATCTTAGCTATCAAAGTTTAATTAAATGGAAAAACAATGATTTGTAAACTATAATTGATAAACTACAAAGAGCCTGAAACGTACACGAATATCTTTTCAGCTAGTGACATATGCAATCCTTTTAGTCACACGTATGAATCATTAATGGCTATAGCCATGTTTATATTTTATTATATGAATACACATAGAACGATAGGACAAGTAGAGCGTCACATCAAGGTAGGTGAGCAAGGTTAAAAATAGTGAAATATAGTTTTCGAAAATACATAAACGACCCCTTTTGTCGCGTGGTTAAATAATAACATTCATAACTGTTAATCCCAGTTTCAAAGGGGTTTTGAAAAAAAATATTTCTTGTCGCTCGTACCCCATGTACACAATCATACACATTTAGTCATAGCAAATACAAATTAAATAACTATGTAGTTTTTCTTGAAGCGAAGTTCTTAAAATTCTCGAAAAGATATCTTTACGTTTTAATAAAAAACAAACTTTTGGCAGACAGGAAAATACATTAAAGTATATATACATGTAATCGTTTTCTGGACTAACGAATAAACTGCTGTTTGACATTGTTATATTGTCTTATGTAAGTGTTATTTGAAGCAGTATTTAACTTTCGTTTCATATAAGATATACAATTGGTGAAGGGATGAAGATCAAATCATTGTTTCACTTTGCAATATATATGTACATGATTGACGGTGAGTTATTTCATTATTATTTTAAGTTAATAGAATGATCTTTGTGACTGAACTTTGTGAATGAATTATTTTTTGATGAAATGTGACTTTATTGTTTCGGACCCACTGCATCAATTGCTTTCGCTACTGGAACACAGTCAAGAAAATGTGTCTTTTTCTAAAGTCCTATATCATTACGGATCCGTTACTTTCCCCCGCGTAAAACTGCCCTTTTCATTAACGTGTGGGTTTGTCCACAGCACATGTATGTGTCGGGTTTATATATTTAAACTTTGTAATATTATTAAATGGCGAAAATCTGTTATAGGCGAATAAACAATATCATGCCATCTTTGACACAATTAAATATCCTTTCATGTCATCTGTCACTTACTAAGTGTTGTGATCAAGAACCAATACTGCAACAGTGCACGATTCCACTCTTATTATTTCAAATAAACGAAATATTAATTGGTTTAAACGAAATATTAATTGGTTTAAACGAAATATTAAATGGTTTTAACGAAACATTAATTCGGTTAAACGACTTAGTTCTTTCTATTAATCAATTCACGATTTACCAATGACCCCAATGCTTCACACACCCAATTTGAAAATACAATATGTTGTTAAAAAAGACAATCCACCGGTTTAACGTTCACTCGACACATACTATGCGATTTAAGGACTAACATGTTTCAACTTTGTTTTCAATAATTCGCTAGACCATAGGGGTATTTAAGAGTGGGAGGAATCCTTTGGACAGCGAGAAAACCCAAAATGTTGGACAGGCGACACTACTCTTTGTCACGTATAAGCGGTCAATTGAAAGAACGTCACTTTATTAAATGACAGATTTTAAACCACTAGACCACCCAGTTGCCCTTTCTCTGGAACTGCGGTTCGCGGAACACCTAGTGGTTGTAATACCCACCCAACCTGAAAATGAAATCCATTAAAAACTATTGCTTTTATCAGGTTCACACGGTTTGCATAATGCGGATCATGTGGTAGGATGGGGGCACTGGATTGAAAGGTTGTCGTAACGATAGGGTCCTTTCCTTTATGACCTCAATGCTTTAAACCAATTTATAAAAAATCTGATTTAAAGTATATCCTCTTTCGTGGTCTTAAGGAAGAATCTGGATTGGAAGAGTGGGGAATAGATAAGGTTTGGCCTTTTATGACCCCAATGCTTCGCATCTTTATGACAAAACTATTATTATTTAAACAGTATGCTATTTCGATTTCATCAATCATGTTTTCGTAATGAGGGATGGGGGACACTAGTCGCGGAAATCCTTCGCACCAAGGATTTCAACAAAGGTCTCGTAGCGCTAAAAATCCTCAATGCCTCACATAAAATTGATCACAATCCTCTAAAAATTGCAGCCTCTATCGCGTTCACACGGCTTCAAGAAAAAGGAAAGAGGGGGAGGGACAGGCGAACCTCTGTATTCCGCTATGGATGAATGCTGAAGAAGGTGGGTTTCACGGATTCCCATGAACAAGTTCAAATTCATAGCACTTATGCTCTCGTGGTCCTAATGCTTCGCAACGACGTAATACACAAATTCACGTACGTACAGACAGATGAACAGGGAGAGAAATTAATAGGGTTTATCCACATGGTCCATGTGGCTTCTGGACGTCCGCCTGTAGGCCAATCGATCCGACTGTTCCTTCAGCCCGTCACCAAAATGTTAACGCAATAGGAACTACAGTTTTTATCGGATTTTCTTAAAATTTGGTGTGAGGCATTTGATTCATAATTTGTTGATGAGCCCGATCGCTTTTTAGCGATACACGATTTTTGCCGAAAACCTTGGTGTGAAGCATCGACGGCATAAAGTGGAAAACCGTAGTTTTGCGTTCTACAACATTCCATTCACCCTATTCTGAAAACCTTATTTTCAAATTGGGTGTGGGAAGCATTTGGGTCAGTAGCCGGCGTGTCAAATCGTAAATCGATTAATTCAATTAATAGAAATAATGAATTTGTTTAAATGAAATGAAATGGGGTTTAACGTCCTACTGTTCTGCTCCGACCGGACTAATGAAAATGGGAAATTCGTTTAAACGAAAAAATTATATAAGAGTGGAATTGAGCACGAAAAAAAAATATATATATATTCGTCCGCTTAAGGGGCTCCGTGTTAATTTGCCATGTTTCCGTTGGAGTATTTTGTACTTCAGTGAATTACTGAGTTCGACCGGATTTTTATAACGCACACCCTTGATATGTCTTTCTGACTACTAATAGCCGTGTGGTTTATTTTTGTCTCTGTTTTCAAGTCAAGTTTTATGTGGGTTGCGACCCTCAAATAGATCAAAAGCCTGTGACGAAAAAGCTGTCTCATAAGTAATAGAAGTATATTAATTGACAGCTATTGTTAAACAAATTTAAAACATCAAATGTCAAATGCATCACTCTAACCTGGGTGGTTTGAATTTGACCCAACAATACTTATGACGTAATATTTTCGTCACGTACTTTTGGACTAAAAGGCATTACTTCAATTAAAGATACATTATGGGGGATTCGATAACGAGTTGGCAGTTTTCATTATAATAGTTAACAACTTGATAATGTAAAGGCAATTTGTTGAAATTCAAATTGATCCACTATGAACCGAGAACTAAGCGGTTGAAATTACTAAAGTCAGTACGATAAACAGCATAGGCTCGATTATCCATTTAATCGTTAAATTGTGAAGGTCAGTTATGCAGTAAATCAGCTCATAATCCACTAAAGATCGCAGGCTAGCGATGCCATCTATAGTAATTAATGGTCTGGATAGGTTAATTAATGTCCAATTAATAGTTTAGATAACATTTCTGGCCTAAAGAAAGACCTGCAATATGCAGATTAAGCTCTTGCGTAATGCATGTTTAAGTTCTTTAGCTTGTTTTTCTTACGCAATCATACTGATAATTTTATTCCTCGGGTGCAGCAGTTTCACTTTTTTATGTTAATGCCAATTAATCAGTATGGCAGGCGTTTATTGGCTAGCACACATGCTAATATTGGCACATGAATATAAATATTCGATTTCACTTGTGTTAGACCTAGAGTGTTTATTCGCCAGTAATTGTATGCATATACGTAAACAAAGAACATCCAAAACTACACATTGGTAGTGTTAGTACATCAACGACTAAACGATACATCAACGACTAAACGAACTAAGGTGCGACGCAGATGTTAAGTGTTTTAAAATATATTATTTGGAATTCAAAACAAGCAAAATATGGTTTAAACGGTATTTATTTCGCAATTATTGTACCATTTAAAGGCATAAAGAATATGATGATTATAAAGACGAAACACGCCAAGAAGGTTTATATTAATGTAATGATTTCAGTTATATCATAATTCTCTAGAGATCAAAGTCATAAATTTCAAATGGTGGTTTTGTTTTTCTCACAGATATAATACTTTTTAATAATTGGATAGAAGGTATTAAAAATGTCAGCACTATTGTTGGTTGTCACGTCCAGTTAATCTGGGAGTTATTTGCAAAAGACCACCATGTTTCCATTTACAAGGTAAGGTTAAGCTGAATTGTTTCGGTTTTAATAAAGTGTGAACCAAATCACCTTAACTACATTAAATGAACCGAGTTTAAAAATTAGATGACATTTCAACATAGTAATTAAAGAAATAGCGAAGTACACTGCATAGCATAGATAAACAAGTGGGGTGGGGGGCATGTTTGAAGATCAGTTTTTGTTTGATTTTGAACGCCTCTTGGGATTAATAATGTTTATAATACTATAAATTGATTTGTCTTTGCCCTGCGAATAATTTAAATATCCCTCATTTTATTATCGAACAAAATAATGTTCCCCTTTTCCCTAAATACTGTAAATCAATATAATAATAACATAAGTGTTTGGTAAAATTGGTAATTAAATTTAAGATTTCAGGAAAAGGTGTTGAAAACAGATTGTCCAATAGTGATAAATACCATATAGACACAAGTCAAGTCCATAACATCAGTATAACCATTACCAACATCACCATGGATGATGCTGGTGTATATAGATGTCGGGATAATGTTGTTATAGAGAAATGGGCAGACTTGTATTTAACAGTCACGGGTAGTTAATTGTTAAAGATAAATTACATTTGATTGGCAAATCTCACAAAGTTCTATTTATACCAAATTAAAAAGAAGACACGAAAACATCTTTTAAATGTACTTGTCTAAGACAGGTGTAACAGTATTTAATATTAAACTCTTGATACACATATTAGGAAGCATATGATACGACAAGATATAATCATATCACACTTAAAATATGATTAAATTTACACATCTTGTATTTCAATATTTCCACAGATGCTTCAAGACAATTCCAATTTTATATTGATATAACTATGATTAAACATTGGTATAAATTAACTTAATTACACAGTCACCACAAATTCCCATGTTATTTATGCCATACTACTATCTCCAATATCACATCAAAGTCTATTTAAATTTGATCTTAGAAAGAATCAACTACTCATTACAAATACGATGTTAATTACTTACAAAAAAATGAAAACGATTACTTGAAGCAAATCCTGTCCTTTACAAAGACTTGACAAACGATTACTTGAAAGAAAAAACCTATTTATATTTACAGATCTGCTGTGGAAGGATAATCCTACAATTGTCAGAGTATCTGTTGGAGATGATGTAACAATGATGTGGGAATATTTTTTAAATGATATAAATAACCATAAAACAGTTTATAAACAAACACCTGGAACTACCGATATCGTAAGTTGGAACATTTATAAAATTTTACTTACTGTTAATGTTTGTGTGAAATAATGTCTGTATGGTGTTAAAGAATCTGAAGAACATTTTGCATTTCTATTTTTGAAAGCAAACTATATATAGTTTCCAGTATTTATTTACAAATTTAAAATCACAAATGCCTTAATATCTTGGGAATTTGTTTTACATAAACCCAAAAGTGACGACCTTCCAAATTTTAGAAAAATATCCACTCAAAATCAACGTATTTTTGTAAAATATTTAAAACAGAACACTTTGTCAGAAATGCGCAGCCGAAACAAATGGCAACCCTTTAGATTGTTGACTTTGATTTTATGCCTCAAGTTTAGGCGAACGAGGTATCGCTTGTATATTTTTGCTACGATTATATACACAGCACCTCCTGACACAGAGAGACAATTAGAGGAAATTTGAACGCATCATCTGCCATCACTACATGACTGACATATAGACAACGTGACCAAAAAACCCGCAAGATGGGGGATTTAACACTTATGCAAATTAATAATACTATTTATACAGTATGATGATCTTAGTAAATGGGACAATGAGAAGCTAATTGTTAAAGGAGACGACTCAAGGATGGAGATTAATATAACGGAGAGTAATGATGGTCGTACAGAAATAGTGATGTTAACCATACATAATATACGTATTGAAGACTTTAAATATATTTATAACATGAAAAGACAAATTCCCCACAACAAGTGTATCAGATATGGCAAACCCGTTTCACTTATTGAAGGTAAGAAAGATAACCAAGTTCCTTATAATATTTTATTAACAATGGACATCCGTAGTCCAAATGCTTAAACTGTCATATGAATGACGTTCAAAAATGCACATTTACAAGCAAGGGCTAAACTGTTTAGAATGTATTGAATTGAAGACAATAACGTATTAAATTGAAGACAATTATGTAATAAATTGAAGACAATAAGGCAAAAATTTTAGGATGGATACCACTGTCCAACTCGCTTTAGGATATATAATACCATTGCCTAACTCGCCTACTGGTATCACTGCCTAACTTGTCCCAGAATATATAATATCACTGTCAATCTCGTTCTAGGATATATAATACCACCGCCCAACTCGCCCTAGGATACCATATGCTGAAAAAGTTATTTTTTTCTAAATAGTACACGTTAATTTTCATTTTAAACAAAATTTAACTCCCAACACTAGGTAAACTGTTGGAATGTGTTTTAAGTAGTTGACTTGGTGATGACTCGAACATATTTTTTTTTATTCGTAGCAATACATGTTAATAGTTTCAAGACTGAACTGGCAGCACGACCATCGGAAAATATTACATTTTTATGGACCTATCGATACAGCGCTATAGCAACGCGTATAATCTTTAATAAATATAATGATTTACGTGAACAGGTAAGGTTGGTTATTTTATTTAATATACTTACACATGTCTAACAACAGGTAACTCACTGGATACTTCGGCTATGCAGAAAGTAACCGTTCTAAAAATCAGAATCACGCTAACTGGATTATAAATGTTTCTGTCATCAAAACTGTCCACATTTGATTTCTAGACTTTTGTTCAAATTTAAGGAAGATTGTGTCGATTTGAAACGATATCTCATAGGGTAAGTTTTCCTTAAAACAATTGAAATAAAATGTGATTTAACGTCCTCCAACTGGACTAATGGAGACGGTCCTTAAAAACAAGTTTTACACACACACATGTATGTGCACGATCTATGTCAGTTTTTGTTGTTGTTTTATTTTTGTTTTAATATTACAGGTCCAAATAGGAAATTGGACTAGAAACAGATTTGATTCAAATATGGGTGAAAAGCGATTAATATTCGGTAAACTGTCTGTAGTAGGTGGAGAGAATATTATTCTAACCCTATTAAAGACAATCGATGATGATTTTAATACTATATATGGCTGTACCATTACCTTTGGTGATGGTCTGACAGGTTATAATGCGACTAAGCTAATATTTACTCAAGGTATGTGAGATTTTTATTGTAATCACTATATATACAAATACCGAAGTTCCGCGTACACAATCGTGTGCTCGTAAAATAACCCTTAACAGTCGGAATTAATATTTATGATAAACATCTGTCTCTTTTAAAAGTCTAGTGTCTAATAATATAGACCCGATTGCCAAATAAATTTTGCAATGACTGGCAACGGAAGTATTTTGATCTTATGTCATTGAGATGGTTGTATTCAACCAAAAGCTGCTTAACTGTCAATGGAACATGACAGTGACATCATCAGAAATGTGGTACAGAGATCCTAAATATTAGCTGTGTTAAAATCAAACTCAAAACCGATTTGTTTGTGACTTATTGTCAGGATTATCAATTTTGTCCACCGCCCTTAGCGCATGTCATATGGATGAGGTGAGCGTAAGCATAAATGTACATTATTATTCTTTGTCTCATTATTTAACTAGATGTACGACCCAGAATAAACGTTCCCGGCAACCAGCAGATTTATGGTAGAATTGGCCACAGAATAACATTAGTATTTACGTATCACTACAGTTTCCCAGCATTCAGCATTAACTTCACCCGTACAAATAGCTCCGGATTTAAAGTAAGATAAAACATTTCGATTGTCTGTTTGTAAAAGCAACCAATTCGATAATAAACGCAATACTTTTAGACATTTACACCTCCACCAAGAAAATAAATATATCATTTTTCAGTAACATTAGGCTAACGTATGCGAATGTATCGAAAATGCATTTTCAAGAGTCATTTACACTCTTGTGTATACATGTATTGAAAAGAGGCATTTACAATCTCATCAATAAATGCTGTATATAAAATTCAATCAACCTATGTATCGACAATACGAGTGTACGCTAAAATCTTGCAAACCATTACAAATTGTGGACGACCCTTAAATTGCTACTGTACTCAAACCTGAAAAGGGAGCTAAAATGTTCAAACTTGGAATATATGTTTATTTGGCTAATGTCTTGACTCGAATGCAGAAGTCATGTCGCAGGTCAATGTTTTTTGGCGACATGATAATGTTGATTAGAACTCCTCGGCGGTGATGAAACTTGTATTGCTGATTGCCCCCCCCCCCCCCGGACTAAACAGTTGGGTAGATAAAAACGAAATAAATTATTTAATTTAGGGATTGTGGTGGTGGGATCAGCCTAAGAAGTAACAATAAGTATTGTTGTTTTCGGTACCTGTGCAGTTACCTTCAGGGTGCACTTACATTTTTTTAAATTTCAGTCTGAATCTAGGGAAGTTAATTGGAAAGATGTTATAGATGACGACAGACGGATCTTTCAAAACAGTTCTATATTAGGTGGAGGACAGATATCTCTAATTATACTAAACACAACTATTCAAGATTATAATGCTGTCTATAAATGTGAAGTTATATTTACCAATGGCAAGATTGTTTCTGCAATGATTGAATTAATTCTACAATCTGACACAGGTTAGTTGTGCATAATCTTGACAATCATATAGCTTACATGTTGTTTAAATAACGCACATTATCCTACAGCTAGGCCAATACGGTCAATACTGGTGGTTACATTACCTTTTGTATATCTATTGCTAGTCCATCGGCAATACTATATACCGGAAAACAAGCGAAAAACAACCGGAAAACCCCATTTTATACTGAATACCGGAAAACACCGGAAAAACACACTAAATACCGGAAAACATCCTAAATAGTTAACCCGGAGCCTGGTCCTCTGTGTGCGGTTTTGGACCAAGTGAGCGCCGATGAAGAAAGGTCAAGGTCATTACGAGGTTCGTTTTACAAATAGCCCCCCCCCCAAAAAAAAAATCCGATTTTTTTGACGAAAAAAATTCTCTGTCACAAAAAAAAAATATTCGAATTTTTCCGAAAAATTGGTTTTACAAAAAAACATTCCGTAGAAAATAATTTTACAGAGAAAAATACTGGAAAAAAATTTAGAATTTTTTTTGGAGAGAAATTTTGGAGAAGAAATTGTTTAAAAAAATCTGAAAATTCCGATTTTTTTTTTCTCCAAAATTTTTTTGACGAAAAAAATTTTCTGTCACCCCAAAAAAAAATTCGAATTTTTCCGAAAAATTGATTTTACAAAAAAACATTCCGTAGAAAATAATTTTACAGAGAAAAATACTGGTATAATTTTTTTTGGAGAGAAATTTTGGAGAAGAAATTGTTAAAAAAAAATCTGAAAATAAATTTTTCTTTGACCGTAGGCGATCGCTCGCTTGTATGTTAATGAACTTATTTCATCAGCGCTCACCTGGTCCAAAACCACACGCGAGGACCAAACTCCGGGTTACTAAATAGCGACCGGAAAACTTATAAGAGTAAACTGTGCCCGAGATTGCGCCGCGCCGCTCCGGGAGGGATCATCGGCAGAGTGGGACGGGGGTGAAATTGTCCAGTCACGTGACGAACATCGATCTCTCGTTCCTCAAGCCATATTATTTCTACAGTCATTGTCATTAATCACAAATTACGGGATGATATACGAAAATGCAGGTTTACTTTGAAATAGTGCAAATGATACTACAATCTTCAGATCAAAGGATGCAAGTTCTTACACAGTGCAGTATAATTTGTGCAACAGAAGACATCTCGAATATCGATTGTCGGAAAAAACATTTTCTCGGGGACATTTTTTTCCGAATACGCATTCGGTGTAAGTCTTCAGCCACCAGGAAGTGGTTAACATAGCAAAACAAATTGGTTGCCGGAGGTTCTCTGGGAGAAGGTAGCCTCATCGGCTAGAGTCCTCTATTTCACAAACAAAAACAACAATTGCTTCCTTGAAAATTTATCGATCAACCCTTTTTACAGACGTCCAGCTTACCACTTCCCGTCAATGTAGTAAGATAGAATATGTACTTTTCTCATGGACAATTGGGCGAAAGTTGGGGTTTTCTCAAGGAAAACTGGTCAACAAGTTGGGGAAAAAAGTTCGAAAAGTAATCCAGAAAAAAATCATGTGTGCGGCCCTCGGAATATGATGGAATATGTTGAATATTATTATGATTCAAGTGATTATATTTGATCCTGGAATGAAAGTAAGCTCAGAAACAAGTAGATTTGTAGCCCTTCCAACGAGATGGATAGCTCTTGGAAAAGATAGACACTTTTCAGATTACAGCCTGTCCAAGAATTGCGTGGCATCCATTTCGTTTGGTGATAAGGACACATAGCGGTTACACCTGGAACTTCAACTCGAACTATTCAGAGATTTATTAACTCGTTTTTTATGTTACTTGCTGTTTCATGATGCGATTTTTTTGTTACCTAGGGAGGAGTTGGCCTAGTCGCGCCTTCCACTAATTCGTACCACCCCGATTCCAGCGTTATTGGTAAGAATCAGGAGACCGGCTCAACCGGCATATAATGGGGCCCTTCGAGGGCAGTGTTTAATCTACTGAAACACTGAAATTTACTGAAAACAAAAATTAAAATACAAAATATAATATGGTCAATGATGGAGGTAGACTGATTGCGTCTTTTAAAACATTCAAAACATAATAGGCATCAACAAAATTTTGGAGAAAAAAAAATCGGAATTTTTTTTTTTTTTTTTGCGGGCGGGGGGGGGGGGGCTATTTGTAAAACGAACATCGTCATGACCTTGACCTTCCTTCATCGGCGCTCACTTGGTCCAAAACCGCACACAGAGGACCAGGCTCCGGGTTACCTATTTAGGGTGTTTTTCGGTATTTAGGATGTTTTCCGGTATTTAGTGTTTTTCCGGTGTTTTCCGGTATATAGTATGGCCCCCTAGTCCATTATGGTTGTGATTTAACCTATACTATAGTATGTAATTTATTTGTATAGTCATGCCTGAAACAGAGAAGACGACCTTTGAAAGAAATCTAATGATAGCATTGGTGATAGTAATGGTATTAATAAGTTTGATAATAGGAATTGTTGTTTGTAGTAAGTAGATATTACAATTATAAAAATCGTGGTTTAAACAATTGATTGCAGCGTGTAATATTTATGGATATTTTAATATATTCTACATTCATCATGTACTTAGATATACATAATCTGAGCGAGCGTTCTCAAAACTAAGATCCTTGCAATTATTGGTATCAAGATTTGTTTTACGGTTTATGTTATTGTTGTAAAATTAAAATGGCGATATAATAACCCCATTCCATTTTTCATTACCATCTATTTGTTTTACAGGATATAAATGTCGATCACATAAATATGAGAGACCGAGACGTGCCAGTAATACCACGAATAATATGAGACATTCCTACATTTCACTAAACAGTGTTGTTATATTCCATGCCAACCGTGATTCTACTACAACCAATGCTGAGTCTACTGCATCTAACGACACAGATGCATATGCTAATCCCTACGATCCAATCAACAGAGATGGTATTGACACCAGTAAAAACGTTTATATGCCACTACAGAATCCCGGAACAAGTAGCATTAACCAAGGCGAGGATGTCCAAGAGACAAATGGTGATGACACTTCGGTTACCAATATAAATGATGTCGAGACAGCCGATGATGATGATGGTGATGATGATACATCGACACATGATTTTAATCCTTACAATGCTTTAAACAAATATACCCTGAACAGTGATATACACAGTTATATATCGCTACCACCATGTACGAGATCAGACAATGGGGAACATGCCCTGTCTCCTAATTCCAGTAGAGGAGAAGACGTAATGTTTGTGAAAAAAAGACCCTCAATGATTTAGATTTGATTCTCAAATTAAATCATATATTATGCATTTGTTTAGACCATCCTTGAATATACATTTGTTTATTTAGTTTTAGGTTTTTTTTATTGAATTTCTAACATGCCATAGAGTTAATACTGAGCTGTATACGTCGTAGGGTTCCTTATACATGTGGACTCTGGCCCGTAGAGTTGATGTTATACTTTTATTGTATTTTTCTTGTCTTATCTCTCTTTCTCGCACCAGGGTGCTCGTCCAGGCCGGCTAATCCACAACTAACGGGCGTATAAAGATCGCTTAAAGTAAATATTAAAAAGTCAATATAAATTAACAAGATAGTTTGTTATTATTTCTTTTACGTAATTCATATATTCTTTTACGCTAATTGCTTTTTTGTTGTAAAAATTGTTTCTTACTGTACATATTATTTTGGTGAGTATATGCGTGTCCTAAGGGAAGGGAAGGTGGGGGGTAGGTGAAATAATTATTGATTTTCAATATATGATATTTGTTTGCTTTGTATCAAATGTATTATCTGAATATATAGTTAATATAAATATTTTCTTATTTTGTTGAATGTTTCAAACAATATTCTTTCGGGGGAAGCAGGGGACTATTTAATGGGCGTGATCCGCTGTCTGACGGTTTGATCTGTCTGGGTATCCGTCCGTATGTCTGACTGTCAAAGTGTTTGGGACACAATAACTCTGTTTCTAATTAAGCTAGAATTTTCAAACTTGGGATAAGTGTTTTCTAGGTCAATGCCTTGACTGGCATTATTGATGGACAATTTGATTGGTCGATGCGTTGGGACCAATATCTGAATATATAGTTATTATAAATATTTTGTTCAATGTTTCAAACAATATTCTTTCGGAGGAAGCAGGGGACTATTTAATGGGCTTGTTCCGCTGTCTGACGGTTTGACCTGTCTGGGTGTCCGTCCGTATGTCTGACTGTCAAAGTGTTTGGGACACAATAAGCTAGAATTTTCAAACTTGGAATAAGTGTTTTCTAGGTCAATGCCTTGACTGTGATTGTTGATAGGCAATTTGATTGATTGGTCGATGCCTTGGGACGCGATAACTTTGCTTCTAATTAAGTCTGATTGATCAAACTTGTACATATTTTCATAACATCACTACCCTGACCAAGTTTGATGACGGGCATTTTCGGCCCAGGTTAAGCAGAGTGGGGAGCGATTTGATTGGCCGAGACTTTCGATTCCAGGTGGGTTTGATTACATAAGTACCTTGACGTTTTGGGACATAACTTTGAGTGAGAGTGGTAAAAGCGTTGTAAAGCTTCATTACATCATTACATAGTTTTAGTACTTCAATACGAGGATGAGCAATTTAATTAGTCAAGATTTTGGAGCTCGACAACATTGGTTCTAACTGGGTGACAATACTTACATTGAGCACTGCTTAGCAACATAATCGATGCTTTATAAAAATATATATACAATTAAAAATGTGTGTTGGGGGACATCAGCCTCACTGTTGGCTTTTTTTTATTTAAAAATTTATTCTTATATATACGTTATTGATATATTGTTACTTTGCTAGTCACATGTTTTGTGCAATAGGAATCCATGAGATATCCTCATTTTTTTTGTTATTCGTAATTGATATACTGTACACATATTTCTGTTTTTTAATTTAAATTGATTTTTTTTTTAAACCAAAATATAACTTTGTTTTGAAACTAATAATTTCTGTAAAATTAATTAAAGCATGCAACTATTGCTCTTGTTTATATATCAAAGTATGTGTTTTTCATTAATTTAATAATTCCTAAATATATTCAAACAAAAACTACTTATTTTTATGAGTTTCATACCTATATCGTCATGACATGGTTTAAGTTTTATTATACTCTGTAATCACACCATCCTTTTGAATGGTTTTGAAGGAATGGTGTATGTGTATGTTAAATGCATTAAATGGGTTTAGCAGTTGCCTAGACACAGCTGCCCCCTACCCGTGCGTGGGCATAGGTAATATGACATTGAGTTGAAAATGAGATCTAAATACACTACCGACTTGTTATGTGCAGGTAATATAATATTAATCGGTGTTGTTGAATATGTTGTCGGGTATGTGACATAGATAATATGCAGTTGGGGTGACAGTAATATCCAAATACTCAAACACCGATTATTCACTGTATAAAGTTAACATAATAATCCTATTGGTCTATTACACCCAAGAGTACAACCCACGCGGCTCTTTACTTTGTTCCATGAAACGTAATAAAAAAAACAACACCAAAACTAGACATACTGTAGTATCAATGCACGGTATGTTTGTACGCCTATAAACTGGTTATAGTTAATAATTAACATCAGGCAGAAAACTAGTAACAGATCTAATGTGTATGGTTAATAATTAACACCGGCAGATAACTAGTAACACATGTATTGTTGATGACTAACATCGGCTAGATAACTAGTGACAAATATAATGATATGTGGTTAATAATTAACATCAGGCAGGTAACTAATAACAAATACAATTATGTATGGTTAATAATTAATATCAGGCAGATAACCAATCAAATATCTAATGATCTATGGTTAATAATTATATCAGGCACATAACTATATTAATACATATAATTATATACGATAGCAAATCAATACGATAGCAAATATGTAATATTAAAAATCTAATAATAACAATTATGTATTATTCAAGAATAATAATCAAATGATAAATGGTAGAATGCTTTTCAGAAAATATGTGACTGGAGCTATTGACAATTCAACCCCTTTAATATCATTGTGACACGTGTCAAATTATAGCTGTTAACATATTATTAGGATTGCATACCATTATGGCAGATCTCTTTTTTGTATAATATTTCAATTTACTATTGGCAAACACAAACAACTCGCACAGCAATAAAGCCATGTATTCACAACTTAAACATAATACATTTTATTTTCTTTTATAAAAAGATCAAAGTTGACAAATCATATTTCAATAAAGTTTTGGTTTGTTTGATGTCAAGTTTGTGGTGGTAAATATGTGCCTCAATATTTCTCCGGGAATAAAAGTTTCCAAGAATTGTGTAATCTCAGAGAATATAGTTTATTGAGATATGAATGATAAAAAAAAGGTGGCCATGATCTGCTAAACTATTTCAATCTGGAACATACCCGGACAATTTTTATTAATTTTTCAGAAATATAATTTAGAAGTTAATCCCATCAAGAATTCTATTACTGCTTATTTTAAAAAGGGTGCCATATTTATTTTCAAATCTTAACAATAACAATATACTGTATAAGTTAGGTATCAGTAACTAAGACGCATTCTCGCTAACCAGGAAGACTTGTGTTCGTTTCCTGCTTAGGCCAAGGAAGTTTATCGTGTGTGTTGTCCCCTTGTCAGTGGTTCGGGACGGAGGGCCTGGTAAGGACAAGTATCTAGTCGTTCGGATGAGACGAAACAACTGAGATCCCGTGTATACATTGGTGTGAATTTCGAAATGAGAGAGAGAGAGTAATTGGATTTAAGGTCCACCCGACACAAAGCATGTCATTTCGGAACAAACACCGTCTTTGTGTAGCACGATATTTAACCTTATCTATAAAAGTATTCATGTAAAGTCACAACCAATATTGTTGTTGCTATGGTGACAATGTTTCAAGGTGTTAAACCGCTTAGTATGATCCATAATTTCCGAAATTAAAATCACGAATTAAAATTCACTATTGGCTATATTCAATCAATATTGGGTTATCTTGGTGTGAAGAAAAGGGACCCTAATACCCGATATTTAAATCACAATGAACATTCTGAAATCATAACCGACGCCATGTACTATGTAGTTCGGGGCGCAATTTGTATTGAAAAAAGAAAGCATATAAAAATGGCTGATTTACAAAAGACAAACACAATATAACAAAACTTAGAGAATGGACTAAGCTGACGCAAACATTTGAATTCTTCGTCAACAATTGAATGTAGATCTCTACTATATACATTTATTACATTAAGATATCTATTTTAAGTTTTCAAATAATAGAGCTATACACCCTTTAAATAGTTCATTCATAGTCATCATCATTGTCAATTTTATAATCACATGTTGACCTGTGATTATGACGACAATCATGAAATATACTTCAAAGTAACTTGTATTCAATATAATTGTGTCACGTTAAATAATCGTTTATTCGTCAATGTGGTTTACAAGATAGGAAGTATATGCAGTATGACAATGTATAATGGTCTTGATCTAGTAAAACAATTGAATGACTCGTTCAAGTCAAAGTCCGCTAGTTTAGATGACTTTTCTTAATAAAAGGCAACAGTTTAAAAACGAGTATACGATCCGATGTTATTTTATTATACAAAGATTATGGCCATGTTGTCTTATGATTTTAGTATTAGTGTAGTATATTATTGTTCGTGCAATGTTTAATTTCTTCGATACGTTACACGTACCTGAAAGAGGTACACACATTGATCTAATTGTATGTGATTCCTATGGTAAACTCCAAAGTAAAGCGAAGTATTAAATTACACTCTAATGTGAGTAATCTACTGACGAATAGTGTAAGTGTCATTCGTTTGATGTTGATACAAATGAGTTTATATTTTCCAAGCTTTATATCTAAAACTATAAAGAACATCGAAGGCTGTGATTTGTATTTAACATTGGCTGTATCTGTCAACAGTGAAATGTTTCATGTTAACATCGTTGGTCTAACACACTGGAAACAATCTATCTAGAATGAACTGAGCTAAAAACACGAAATAAAATGAGGTTCAACTTCCAACTATTCTTCGCCGACTGAGCTAATGAAGATATGGAAGTGACAATGGTTCCCTTACGTGCACGCCAACCTATACACGGGACCTGTCTCTGGTCAAACGCGAAAAACTAAGCGTTATCCCTTGCCAAGCCTTCGGTCAACTCGGGGATCGAACATGGGACCTCCTGGTTAGTGAGCCAAGTCCTACTGACTGACCCACCGTGGCTACCCTATTAAAATATAAAAGCACAACCAGAATCGTATAAATTATCCTAATATAGTAAGCATACGTAGCTTGGTTATAAGTGCCTGTCTCCACTAGATAGTTGTTACTTATAAAACTACTACTATATAAGGGAGAACGAGGGTGAGTTCATACCCACTCAGCACAAGATAGGTCATTTCGGGACAAACAAATTATATAGAAATGTATTTCAATAATGTGTCTGCTGACTGGATTATTTAGCTGTGGGGCGGGAGAGATTGAAGGACCCGGAGAAAACACACAAAGTAGGGCAGACTACACTACTCTTTGTTACGTAGAAATGTGAGATCAGAACTACGTCCCTTGACTCGATGACTAACCCGATCATATAAAGCGCACGTGTTGGACCACCCGGCACCCCAACCGCTCTTTTAACTAAATTATATATTTATAACGAAAATACACCAACCAAGATATGGGATAATCTCTATCGCCGTCATGGAGCCTGGCGAACACGAGTGACCATAACTTAATCAATCGGCGACGAACAATAATATATCACAGACTAGTAAATACAATTAAAAACATATAAATAAATAAAAAAAAATTTTTTATATTAATATTCATCTAAATTTTGAAATAAAAAAAATCTTTTTAATCAAAAAATATTGCTGTACATTTTACTTAAGACTCCGTATATCAGGTGTTAGTTCTCGCAGTGGAAACATCTCTGCCTGTAAATATTCAACGGATATATTATTATATACCACTGTAGTTAAAATAATGAAATGAAAATATAATTTAGGTTGCGAACAACAACAGTTTCTTAAACGTTGGTCTTTTGTGATCAATTCACACACATATGCGCTTAACTGAACAATATTATTAAAAGTGTTTTAAATCCATTTGCTCTCGGTTTAGCGTCGCTATTTTATATTTTACACGCCTCTGTTTTAACAGCCAATGCAAACGAAGCTATTCCAATTACGCCGAGGCACCGTCAATGTATCCCTGTATAACCAAGCCGAATTTAACAGGGTTATATGATTCGTGTCAACTAAAGGTTTGGGCACACCCAAGGACTTTCGCCGGTGGCTTGTGAGACAAAACAAGCAGCCCGTGCATCACCAATTCCACCACTGTCGTGTCGTTATGCGGGCGTCACACTGTAATGAAATTGACACCAGGTGGGCATACGAATATGACATTTTGCATTTCGCGTGGCGCGAAGATGGCTCCGAACTTGGTCAACAGTCAGTGAACAGTTGAAGCAAGTGCAATGCCTACAGAAGATCACATAATGGCACACGAACCACACACGGAGGTAATACGAAGTCGTGAATTTTGTATAGTACTTTATACCCACATGACTCACGATGGCCCTGTAGAGTTGCCCAGGACGATGCTTTTGCGGGCGTCACAATGTCGGGAAATTGACACTAGATACTCCCACACACGATAAAGTAAATGTTTAAATTCGGCTCTTATCTGGTGTTGATTTCGGGACGATGTGACAGTTTGTATGTCGTACACCGTGATCTATTTAAACCAACATTATCACCTATCATAGCGTGCATTTTGAATATATATTTAGCGTACAATATGGTTTATCGGCGAGAAACTATCCACTTATTATAAGTGACTTATAACGCGCAAGGAGACAAGATGTTCAGTCGTCTAATTAACTGCAGACCAATAGTTATTCGTTGGTGGTGCAAAATTGCCAAACAATCCTTGGAGTATGCAATATATGCTCTATAGACAAAGCCAGTCG